AAAAATATCTATCTCAAAAAAATAATTGGTATTTATTTAATAAATATTGTTACTTCAAATTATTTAATTTAGATACAATATAATAAGAAAAAATTGAAAGTTTTTGAATGTTTTTTTAAATCATCGAAAGGAAAAGTGAAAAATCATTAAAAAAATTGAAATAGTTTTTTTTACTTGGGCCACGTCATTAAAATGACGTATCATCTACATCATTTTATTTAATCTAAGTAAGCAAAAAGAAGTAAGAGTTAACCAGTTTAAAATGTAACAGATTATGATTGCTATAATGGATAGATTTTTTAAAGTATGATATCTTAGTAGAAAATAATTTAAAAGTATATTGTTGTAATAAGAAAGAATTAAATGAAAAATACAATGTTATAATAAAGAAATTTATGAAATTATGTTGCTATTTCATGCATTTAAAAAAATTAAAAATTAATAAATAATCAATAATGTATTAAGTATTTTCAATCGTTGATTCAGACTCTCTCAGTGATTTGATGATAATCTTTTTTATACCTAGCCGAAAAATACTTCGTTTTGTCTTATTTAGTTTCAGCAATCAAAACTGAGTATGTTGAGTGATTGCTGAACATGTATCATAAACTTCTCTAATGGACAAGTATTCTTGAAGAAGACAAAACTCACACCGAAAGAACCTTTGTTAGGACCTGTAAACTCAGTTTTGATATTAACCAAATACTCTGGATGATCTTTAAAAACAATAACAGTGTAGCGAAAACAGTATAAGAACAAACAGAGTAATTAATCAAGAACACACAGTTGATGAATATGAAGAACACGAGAGAATAGCTTCAAAGGTTTTTCAATTGATTGAAAATAAGACGATTACAATTCAGAAGCACACTGAATTACAAAGACCTAGCTGCTATTTATACTAGTTCCTAACGGCTTTTCTGACACGACCTAGACGCGTGAAACGATCCAAACCGTCCAAATAAAGTCGATTACAAACATAGTCACGTGAGAAGCACATGCAGCTAACTAACCTAAGTAAAACAGTAAGAAGTGGTTCTTCACAGAAGATAAACCCGCAGACCCTCTGTGAGCTATTCCAGAGGCTCTGCTGCATTTGACTTGTAAGCTTTTGTTGCCAGAGGACCAGTTTCCAGAACCTCTGTTGTCTATAACCTCTGTGATAGACAACAGAGGTTATGTCACTCTTGACTTGTACGATTGAACATCTTCTGTTGTTGGTCCTCTGTGGTCTTCTGTGGAATGAACCCTTCTGTCAACACTTGCAGAAATCTTTTTCATACTTTTACATTAATGAATATGAGAGCTAACAATCTCCCCCTAAGTATGAAAAAGTAAAAATTAAAAATTGAATGCAAGAAATGACTAATAAAAAGAATTACAAGAGGAGAATAAAAAATTCATCCTCTGAAAAGAATTACATGATGAAAGAATTACAAAATTGTGTTGCATAGGCCAATACTATTACAAAGGTTTATCACACAACAGATTCTGGAAAGTCGTCTACGGCATATAGCATGTCAGCCTTGATGGTTCTATAGACATTGAAAATCCATTCTCTGAAGTTGATTTGTACTTTGATTGCTTCCAGAATGCCARACACTTCACCCATCCTTAGATGCCCTCTTTGCACCTCTGTCGCTGCTCTGTTGAATACCCATTCAAGGGTCTCTGTGGAGTACTTGTTCGATTATGTTGGATCAAAGAACCTTAGGATGTCATCCTTGTCCAAGAAYACAAACCYAAAAACGGGGTTGTGGATAATGGAGTTTRGATGATACCTAAGTATCCAACCTGGCCTGTTATTCGGAGGGGAGATCTTTAGATCTTTTTGGACTAACCTCATCGCGATTTCGAAGTCCTTCTGGCTGTAGTATCTCACTTGTGCGCGCATAACCTCGACAAGCCTTATGAGCGATATAGAATAGCTTGACATCCTCTCCATGTATTTGTTGAGAATTTTGTGCAGGTAGATAAGATCAAATACACAGAGGTTGTGGAGGTCAGCATCTGTGAACGTGTATAGGTTGCCATCATCCCTCCTCACAACGTATTGAGCGTAGAGCACCGTCTTCTTCAGCAATGTCCTTGAAGAAATTGTTTCAAGTGATGTAATCACGTGCTCTGAGAAGACTTGCTCGCGTGGCCTTGTAAGTTTAGAGAATTGAAACTTGGCGGCGGCAGAAGGTATACCTGTGAGCTCTGGATCATAGGGGGGCTCTGTGTCCACTGCAGAGTATCTCCACAGCAGAATCTCCTCCTCAGTAGTAACAGGCTCTGTGCGCACTTGTTGCAAGGGAATCCTGCTCATTGATTCAAAGATCTCAGAGACCCTTCCTATTGTGGCTGATTCTGGCACTTTGGCTTCTTCTTCTTCAAGTATTGACCTCTGGGTGGACCCCTCTGCAAGGATAGGTTTGACGTTTCCTTGCAGAGCATCGAACGTACCCATGGACGTTTCCTCCTTTGCCTTCATGGAGGATGAGCCTTCTCCAGCTCTGGGGGGGATGCGGGTTCTGCCCTTTCTTGCTTGAGCTTCTGCCAAAGAAGCCTTTAACGCTTAAACGAGCTCTGGGTCGTCATAATCTTCTTCGTTTATCTCTGGCATATCTGAGCTTGACGACCCCTTCTGTGGCGATTCCTCTACAGCCTAGCCCTTGCCTTTCCCCTTAGGCTCTGGTGCTTTTTCTTTCGAGAACAGGGCTGCTATAGAGTCCACTATCTTGAGTGGTTTGGTAGAAGTTTTTTTCTTGGACTCTTCAGCTTTCTTCTCTGCCTTCTTCTCCCCCTCATG